TATCCAAGACTAAAGAGGGAATGTGTGTGTGTGTGTATGTGTAAACTTCAGGCGAGGAAACTGTACAAATACAAGCTCAGCCATAAAAAGCTGCACCAGTACTGCTCATGGATAAAATCTGCAGCTTCTTTTTCATTCTTCACCAGACTGGAGTCTGTGCACGTGAGCCTGTCAACTGACACATTTCTGTGGGTTGATGAGTTTCAGTCTCTCATCGCGTTGATGGGACAATGTCCGATGTCACATCCGCTGTTGACTGGTAACATCTGCGTTGTGGCCTCAGTGGAGGGACAACACTTTCCCCTATTCAGCTTCCTCCCTGCCCCTTCTCGAAACTTTGACCTGCATCATCTCTGGAAGCCGTCGGGGCGTTTAGGTTTATGCACAGCTGGCGTTGTGAGTAGTTTTGTTTTCCTTATTCCACCACTCTGTACGGTCGAAGATTGACACGTGGTGAGTCACCTCGCCTGCCCATCCACAAGCACAAAGGAAGAGCCCGTCTTTCAGCAGCTGCTTCAAACAGACAGCCCCACCGATTTACAAAGGGGAATGTCTCTGAAAGCATTCTGGAATGAAGTTTTGCCCGATGTTTGTTTTACAAAGACGTTCGCTAAGCCTGCGTGTCCATTTGTTGCTTTATTTTGATGGATCAGACATTTTACACAGTGTCTTAGTCTCAGTTTGTATATATAAGCAGAATATAGTATATTTCAAGCATTGGGCGTAACCTATAACATTATAATTGGTCTGTATCCTGTACCTTGTGCACACCTCTTCCACAACCTATCAATCCTCTACCAACTCTGGGAGTCACCTTGGAGTATAACTGTCTGCTCAGAATGATAATGAGAATGCTGATTTAAAACAAATAAGCAGCGTCTCCTCCTGCTAAGCTCACGGTAAGCTTCCTGTCAGTTTGGCATGTCTGAGTTGTCAGGACAGCCCAACACGCCCCGGGACTATGTCCGCATTACATTAAACACAATCACTTGACCCTAGCTGGCCCTGTTCCCTGTACCACATCTACTTGAGCTGCTGCAACAACGAGGTCCATCCCCCCCGCTCCGTGTTCCCATCATGTACGGAAACAGGGGGAGAACAATCCCATTACATTACAACAGGGCCGGGGCTGATCTAATGGAGAGAACATTAAAACCATGTCGCGTTCAGTCACTTACTTGATGGATCCTGGAAGAGAGGGATGTTGAGGAGGAGAAGGAGGAAGGGATAGGATGCTGCGGGGTTAGAGGTGGCGGTGCGGATGTGGCAATGGAGAGTGTGTGATGGCACCCCGGCGCCCTTGAACAAACTGTCATTCAAACCACTTAAATTAATTTCCCCACCTTGTCTTCTTCCCCGCCTCCATGCCATCAAACACGAGGTCCTGTACTACCTACAGGAGGCTGTGGCTCAATAGAAAGTACATGTCAACAACTTGGGAGCGGATAAATAGAGGACTTTTTGATGGAAATGTGGCCTTGTGTCTGTAATAGTCGAGATCTGCCAGCTCCGGCTTCCTAGTTGACAGGAAAGGCTGGAGCAGGCATTTTGGAAACCCACCATTTTTACAGAATGGCTCTTTGTGTTGTTAGGGTGTATAATTAAGATCTCATTGTGACAGCCATTGACAGAGAGCTAATGAGGGTTCTGATGTATTCCATATGAATATGAATATTGAATTTTTAATATTTTATGGCTTTCTAATTGCAGTGAATGCTGTTAATGGCTTTGACTGTTGAATATTACCCAGACTGAATGTTCAGCATGCGTAAGTACCTTTTCAATCTGAGACTGACAGAAAAAAAAAGCTGCGTTTTCAAGTCAAATTCTTTGCTTAATGATTGTCGTGTATTCTGTGTATCTTTGGGGCAGATACATATCTTGAACGAGGGCATGTCTGTGACTGTGAATACATTTGAACCACTCTTTTCACTCGCTTACGAAGATGAATGTATATATAATTACAAAGTATATCACATACACTACCTTGATATAGAGTTTAATGGCCGTATCGTTTCTTTGTAGAGCATGTCTGCTGGCCTTAATCTTCCCCACAGCTGACATCTTAATAACTCAGCCCTCTCCATCCATTTCCACGGGAGACATCCGGATGTGGGGGAAGGATTAGTTTAATGAATTTGACAATTAGTAACAGAAGTTAATGACTGCATGGGGCTAAGTACCCTGATGGACATGGCTGGGGGGACTGAGGGCCTCCATTGCTCTGGGCCATAGATCCTCATTAATAGCTTTTCTGCCTGGAGGAGAGGACAGGGGAAGCCAGGCCAGGCCTTTGTTTAGTCTGCCTCTGATCGGGCTGCGAGGGAGTTGTGCTGTTGCACGACGGCGTGCCAGAATTAGTCCTGCTCTGGGCATGAGTTAACACAGAGCCGTGGGGTCCTGGATCAGGTGAAGCTTCCTTTAATGAACCAGGGTCATTAAATGTTGAAAAAAAAAAAAGTGACACAGAGGGAGGCAGCTCTGTCTTCGAATCTTGTGCCAAGAGTCATGAAGAAAGAAAAGTGGTTTGTGGGTCACAGGAGTTCTGATGACCTCTGCCTTGATTTATCGTTTTGTTAGCTTCTTACCCGGATCGCACCTCTAATGTAGTCAAAACATCGTTTAGCCAGATAGCTCTCATAAAGATTTTATTATTATTTATTATTATACTGTGCTTCATGAGCTACCTTTTCGCTTTGTCAAGTATTCCTTCTATAAACCATTTTGATAAATTTTTCAGCCACCATAAAATCAAAGTTTGTATTTTTTATGGCATCATGAATACACATGGAACAATTCCCACAATATCAGTCAATTCAGATTTATATGTGTATATCTATGCACCTCTGCTTCACAATAATTTATCCTACCTTTCCCACAGAGGATGAGAAAGTATGCGTAGACTTTGTAAAATCACGTCTACAGCAGAATTAGCTGCCCTCTCATTCCTGCCTGTCTCCTGGTGATAGCTATAATAGCGACAAAAACATAACTGCGTCCAAAAATAATCATTTTCCAAAGCTACTTGCCAAAAAATCTCATAGCAAGAGCCTACACTGAAAACAAGAGGATGTGTGAGAAATTTGTCTTGTGTTATCATTAGTGGGGAGCATGCCTGGGTCTTACAAGGCTGCATGACATCACTTAGATACTGAACTGAACCTCACAGGCCCGAGTACAAGTCCAGAGAGGAAGGACACAGAGGGAGACAGAGTGACTAAAATACAAGAGTAGGGGTTTTTCTGTTTGCTGCTGCTCTGATGCTCTCTGGTCCTGTCAGGTTTAAAGCCAAGGGACCAAATTGGTGTTGATGTAGCGCACTTCTTCAACACTCTCATTCCTATCTCTTTTCCTCTTTCTGTCTCCCCTTATTCCACTCTTTACTTCCTAATTTGCCTCTTTAGGAAGTGACAATTGCATTTAGGGAAAAGGTTATCATTGTATTAGAATAGAGTGCTGGCCCTGAGGCTTACCTAGAATTACATGACACCGCCTGCAGCCCCCTTGGGTCTGTGCTGGGCTGAAATGTTATCAGTCTGACTTAATTACTGTCACCGGGCAGCATTGACTATAATGTATATTCCAGTGTTGGAAAGATTGGAGAGAAATTTAAACGTGAGCTGTGAATCCCATGTTCTTAAGATCTCTTGGTGATTAACTTTAGGTCAAAGAGTTAAATTTGAGTTGTGTACTTGTCTCTTTGCTTTTAGCTTCGCCTTCATACCTCACATCCTTTGCTGCACCGTAAACACCACACATAAACACGTGTGTGGCCGCACTCACACAGAGCCCATCCTTTATCTGATTAGCTGGCACGCCTACATGGAGCTGTGTGTGTGTGTGTGTGTATGTGTGTGCGTGCGGCACAGGGCGTCGCAGCTCAGCGTCAAGCCCCAGGCAGGGCATGGATTTCATTTAGGAAAGTATCAAAGGTTTACACGCTGTTCGCTTTAATCAGCATGTTTATCAGGCAGAGAAAAATTGCAGGAAGGGACCACAGGGAGGAGGAGGGGCGGGGGGTTATCTTAAGGACCAGTAGCCAGGGAAATTGATAATGGCTACAAGGTAATTTACTGGAGACTTGTGCATCCCTCCACTGCTCCTATCCTTGCCTCTCATTCTAATTACAGCCCATGTAATGTTCTAATGAATTTGCAGGTGTGTGTGTCTGTAGGGGAGGGGTGTGTGTATAGGTGGAGAAGGGGGTTGTGCATGTATATATGTATGTATGTGGGTGAGCATGTATACGCTCTCCTGTCACATGTGCACGTGTTTGTTTGTGTGCGTCACTCTGCATCAAGCTTGTTTTTAGCGAGAGAAGATTGAACACATTTCAAGGCTGTGTCAGTACCTCTCGAGTGCATAGTTGTCTCACTGTTTCTGAAATATGAATACGATATGAAAAGCAATTAGATTAGCCCTCAGCAATATTAAAGATACATGCCACTCACAGACACGACACTCCGCTGATACCTTGAGTTGTCACCACGGTTCTGTCTTCCTGCCGGAGTGCGGAGAGGATGGAAGCCTCGGCCAAGACTCATTCACCTCTCACACACACTACAAGGCCGATAACATCCAGGAACTGCGTTTAGTGGTGCTGGAGCCTCCAGTCACATACTTACATGCGCACATAAACACTCATATTGTTCTTTCACACAGCCATGTACGCATCCCTCCAGGGGATATGGGCTGGGCCATAAAAGCCTTGATACGACCAGAGAGTAAACATCCCCACAGGACTGCGGTCCAGTGGAAGGAAGAGCCGTCAGGAATCTACCGTCTTTGCCTGCGTCGGTTTTTGTGTATATATTTTAACATGTGTTTGTGTGGTTTTGTCAGATAACTCTTTGGGTTACCATTGTAGGTTGAGTAAAGAGTGTTTGGCCCCGTGGGACAGTGACATCATATTGCTGTAACAATGCAAGTTGCACATACTGTATAATGGAAAAGGCAAAAAAAAAGGTTTGTGGTTAAGTCAACTCTTTTTTTGCTCACAGGAAAAGGAGGCTGTGGAGGCAGTGTCAGTAGGGGCCATTCTCTCCGATTACCAGAGGGTCCGTGTGGAAAATGTGTAAGTCAAACATACATGCACATTCATGATTTCTTAAAGAGCACACATATCCACCCACTGCGTTTAGGCCCATGAACTCACACACTGACACACTCTGTGGTCCACTGGAGGAAAAGAGAACATCCTCTGTAGACTTTACCTCACTGTGTGTTCCACACAGACACACACATACTGAGATTTGAGATTAGCTTTGATTTTATGGCGTTGCCCAGTTTTTATGGAGCAATGATTTCAAGAAAAGTAATGAAACTTATTTTGAAATAATATAATTTACCTTAATATAGTTATATAATTGGCATTTTTATGCACTTTTTCATGGAAATATCAGATGGTTATCCTTGTGGTGCTGATACCTCTATATTGCTCTGGTTTTTTGTTTTATTATTTCTTTCATTACGTCTACCAAGAAAGTTTGTTTTCACCCGTTTGTTTGTTTGTTGGTTGGTTTGTAAGCAAGATTACTCAAAAACAACTGACCATGAAACTCGGTGGAGGGATGTGGTTTATGTCAGGAAACAACGCATTCAATTTTGGTGTGGATCAGGAGGCGGATCCAGCATTGCCATGTTTTTCTTTTACTTAAACACATTTCCACTGTTTTCCAAAGGGGATCATTCTTGGATCTTGGTGAAAAAAATCAGGCATAATGAGGGAACTTGGTGTTTGAAATTTGTTTCAGCTTTTCGATCCTCTCTTCTCTCTTTGTTGCACAAAAGCTTCTAGCTTTTAGCAAATATGTTTTCCCTTAAACATTCTAGATACACATTAACATTCCAGGTATTTTCTTGAGTAGTAGATGCATCTATCTACTGTGAATGTGTGTGTTGTGTGAGTTTATGTGATAGTCAAGCCACAGCTGGAGATCACGTTTTTTGTGTGTTTGTCTCCTCCTTAAAAAAACCCACTGGCACTGGTCTCAGGTGGGAACATGTGCTGTGGGTCTATCAGGGTGGCAGCTTTCCTGAAAACGGAGAAGGTGCCCAGCCTCGTTGGCTTTGAAGTTCTTCTGGAGCTGGCCAATATTTAGTGTTAACCACTCTGCATATTCTTCTGTTTTTCCAACCCACCTCTCCCTCTTTTTTCCTATCACCTGTTCTCCAGATGTTGGCGGCTTGGTTTGCAGCCCCTGGCCTACCTGTGGCGCCGAGACCAAGAGTCCCTGCTCTCCGAGATGATATCATCTGACCTCCACGCTATCCTCATCAAAGTTGCCGCCTTCGGTGAGTTTTTTTTGTCTCACTCTTTTGTGTCTCAGGCAGCTGGTGAGCAGCCTGGTGTCCCCTCCCTTCTGGTCACCCCCTTTACTTTCTCGGAAGGTGCCACGGTGGTTAAGTAGTGTTTGGCACAGTGATTGAAAGGACAGAATTTGGATAAGTGTGTGATAGGAAGAGGAGAGAGGGAGGTGGCACCAGAGCAAAAAAAGAGAGACAAGTGGAGTAAGGCCCTAATCATTAATCTGTGGCTTAGCAGCGGTGTTGAGACTTGTGCCAGCGGCAAAGGTATTGAAGCAGAGAACAATATGAAAAGATAAGACGCGCCAAGGGAGGAGGTGCGAGGGAAGTGCACAGTGGTTTTGTGTAGGTGAGGTGGGGGTGGGGAGTAGGGAGTGTTTGGCAGTTGAAAAATAATCACAGTTGATTAGCCCAAACATTAAGGCAACCTGTCAATAAACGACACATGTCGCTATTGTGTGTGAGAAGCACTGCAGTCTCTGGGTATGCATAGCTTCGGCTACATGGTCCGTGAAGGGAAGATTAAAATCTAGTATCTCTCATTTACGTTTTTCAAACTGCTTCCCATTGAGGGAAGAGGTTAATGTGGTGTCACCTCCTCTCTACCTGCCTGTTTTGGAGCCCGAGGAGAGGAAGATCGGATTACTGCATAACAGGAGAGAGTAAAAAAAACCTCTTTTCTTTTCTCTGGTACATGATGTTAAGATCCCTACCTGTATCTACTTGACAGTGCAGCTGGATCTCCTTTGACGGTGCCAGTGAAAAATGATAATTACGGCCACAAATAGTTATTTTTTGCTCTCAAACTACTCGTGGCGATACATCATCATATAGACATTGTTTTCGTGCTGTTAAGTGCTTGTTGTCACCTTTGGTAGCGATCAGTCGAGAAGGGGTCCTCGGCTGACGGATGACCTGTAGAGTCGAGCGCTGCGTTGGCGATATTCTACGCATCTTTCAACACTGCTCAAATAACCTCTCATGAAATGCACGTGTCAAGCCATTTATCTTTGGTTCTGTATTTAATGCACTCATTTGTCTTTATCATGATAAAAAAAAACTTCTCTGTAATAAATTATATAAATTGCCACATTCTAATCAGTGGAGAGATCATGTCAGAATCCATGTTACCCGTATTTATCTTTCCTTCCATGCAATTAGAATTATTGTTTACTAGTCAGAATTAATTCTTATTTTCTCCTAGAAGCAGATAAGATCAAATTTTGCAGTTAATAATAATCAATCAATCATAATGCCAAATTACTCACTACTGGTATAATGTGCGTGTGTGAAGAATGCTCTACCTTAAAATCACCCTGCCCCTCCACCAAGCTTTCTACTTTAAACACAACTATGTCTAAAAGCAAATTCTCAGCATTTCTTAGAAGATTATAATTAGAAAGGAAAATCACCTCGGGTGCCTTCACATGTGTATCTTGGCCTCCCCTCTGTCTGTGTTTGCACGAGTGTGTGTGTGTGTGCATGTGTGTTTTGGCTACAGGTAAAAAGAAAAGATCTTATCAGCCCTGACTCCTCACCTGTCCCCAGGCAGTGGTAATTAGAAAGGAGAGAATTGAATAAGGGTGCAAGGAGCGCCCGGGGCACTTTAGGCAGCACTCATATAATTGCAGCTTTGGTGGAAGCAGCTCTGAGCGGTGAGGTGTGCTGTTTAGGAGGAGATTGGGTGACAGAAGGGCGTACCTGGTGGCCTTTGGTGTTTGTGTGTGTGAGAAAATCAGAGGAAGATTTCAAGGGATTTACTCGTGCAGACCTCACGAAGAGAGAAAAAAAACTTTCACAGGGCAGAGGTTAAGTCCGCTTGTGAACCGACAGCCAAAACAGCTTATGATATTCTGTGGTGGCATAAAATGGGTTTCGGTGGGTGGGTGAATAGAAGGAAGTCATTCAAGATTAATATACCTTCATTAGCTACTCAAAAAGACAGGTGGAAATTAGTGGTGAATGGATAAAGAGGAAAAAAAAAATACTGTCTTTCTTATGGGGGGATATTTTCCTTGATGACAAATCCCTGTGGTGAAAAGACAGCTGTCCAGATGCAGGATGATCCTCTAAGTGAATTCTACGCAAGTGTTCGTTTGCGTGCTGATGGCAGGCTAACACTTCAAAAGAGAGAAAGGAGATTTGAGTCTCTGAAGATGCCAGATTGCACGTAAGAAAGTAAGTTCAAATATCTGAGTCTAAGCCTGTGAATGTCATGAAAGTGCTTCTAATTAGCAAAAAAAAAAAAGTGTTCAGCTCATGAGGGAGATGTATATTTTTGTTAGGGAACTGTCTCCTTATAATGCAATATCCCTTGCGCTCACCATGATAATTGGCAATTGCACGAGCCCGATTAAATATTCATGTAATTAGTTAATTGATTGATTAGTGCAGGTGTATGTGAGGGCACAGGTTCCGCGGTTAATTGGTCCTCAGCTCCAGAGATAATTGGCATGTGTGAAATCAAGGTCCGTCCACGGGAAAACCTTTCATCGCCGCATGATCTTTTACCCTTCACACGAACGCAGCCTTTGTGCTGCGGGGGCGAGGATTCACGTCACAAATTTTCACCGATCACCTCATCCACTGAAGGGACACAGGATGTAATTTAATATTTACTTAAAGGACAATCAATGTTTTACACAAATTTTACTGATCGTTGTTGAAGGTAACGAATGGGTTTTTTCCATTGATTTTTTATTATCCACTTTATACTAAGGAATGTTGGAGCTGGTTTATCCAGTAGATATGGCTAATGGTCTTTAACAAACAATAGAGGAAGACATGTTTTCGGGATTAGACCATGATGATCAGGATTCAGACTCTGTCAGACACTTTATTAAGTGTCCCTGATAAAAGACGAGATGCAATTTACTCCTGAAATGAAGTGCACTGTCCTCTAACCCAGGCCAAATTGACTTTTCATCATTTCAGTTAATCAATTCATATTATCTGTTGTTGTCAATTTTTGTACCTCAGTGAAGTACTGAGGCTCTTCTTACAGATTTAAAGAGTTAATAGAAAAAACTGAAGAAGATATTTCAGGTTTCTGTAATTCTCTGGAGTTGCGACGTAGAAAACAGCAGGTGTGTGGTCTGATTTTATGCCCAAATCATCCAGTGTGTGTGTGTGTGTGCTGACGATTATAAAATAAAAAATCGGTTATGTCTGTGATTTACCAAATTTCAAGAATTTAATTTTCTCTAGTGTGCAGCAGCCTTAACCTTAGTACAAGGGTCAAAGTTCAGCTGAAACTGCTCTTAACAGTTGAGCATGATGGCTAGTAATTTGTTGAACATGTCCTGTTCAGTGTGGACATGTTAAGTTTTTCTCTTTTGATTTGTTGCAACGAAAAGATTTAATCTTAAATTGATCGCTACACATTTCATGCCGCCTATTTCATCTGCTCACAGACACTGAATTTCAGATAAGAGTCTGACAAATTTCACATATAACCTTAATCTTATCATCCTTTGTACGGTGCCGCCTCCTTCCCCCTCTTTCTTTCCTTCCGTTCTGCATTTCTCCATCTCTCTCTCTTTGTGAAGATTAGGTGATAGTGAACAGCCATTGTTTTGGCAGGGGTCTTTGAGAGTTTCGTTTAAAGGCTGATGCAGCTCACCTACTGGGGAGGAGATGCTTATTCCATCCATTTAAAGGCTAAAATGTTACACATCATGAATCCAATTTTCTCTGCCTTTTCTCTCTGAAGGCAGGGATTAAAGCCGAGCTGTCAGCCGGCACACCAGATCTTAAGACAACCTGCGGATGTCTGCGATACTGCGCTCAGCTCTGTTCAGACAGTATCTGCAATCTCCCGGCTTTTTAATTTAGCATTAGACTCAGTAAGCAAAAAAAAAAACAAGCAGTTTCAATTAAATAAGGTAACTGGCTGCTGTGGGTTTACATGAATCAACCTCTTCAAGGTGGGAAAAGGCCAATCATGATCATGAAAAAGAATCAGTGCAGAAGTGCGCTCCGGAAATAATTGCCATTGACTTCTGTAAGGGAAGACGAGTAGTTTCTGTTCAGACATGGAAGATGTTTTCTTTCAGCTGAGAACTTTGCCTCTTGGTTCAAGAATTGCAAATTGAGAGTGAATTTTGAAGCACAATGGAAGGGGTTTCCTGATTCCACTTGTTATTGCAAACTTTCCGTGATGTGGTTATCTCATATTGTGTCTTTTAACGTTTTTTAACATAAGTTTTTACCGTAAGTATTATACCTCAGTGTGAAGACAAACCTGGCTGTCTGGTTTTCCCAGCAAACTTTTTATTCCTCGCTAATTCCAACCCTTTAAATGTCGACATGGTTTTTTCTCCCTCATTACTGGACTCCCCGGTTTTAAAGTTCACTGAATTAGATTGGAGTTTTATAGGATAATACCAAGTAAAAAGCTCTTTTAAAAGAGAGCCATTCCTCTCCATCTCTCTCAGGGAAACTCCCCTCTCTCAGAAGAGCGGTCCCGCTGTCTCTGGCGGCGGACTAATGGTGGCTTCTAGTGGGCTTATTTGGGTTTAATGTGGCATAATGAGGTTAGGTAATTGGGTTTAGGTCAAGTTGTAAAACAGCTTCCGAGGAGACAGAGATGTGAAGATCATGTAAATGAGTGGTGTTAGATCGCTGAAGGCTCACACCAGTGGCCACTCAAAGACTCCTCAAAGCAGGTATTGTACAAGCGCCAGCTCATTCCACGTATCCTCGTCTCCAAATGGCTGCAGTAACCTTAAGTTAGTCAGGAGCATCAATTTGGAAAACACTCGTACAAGTGCTAAGTGGTCTTGGGAGGAATGCCTCCACGTTAATGCCACCCTTGTATCATTTTATCACTCACTCCTGTCTTCCTCCATTTCCATCGTCCTCTCCTCCTTGTAAATATCAAATCATGTATCATATATTATTTAAGAGCAGGGAAGTTAATTAACATATTAAAAAAATGTGGCATCCCCTCAGCAATTTGGAGCCAATTATTAAAATTTGTTAAAAGGCATGACTAATTAAAGAGGATATTTAAATGGGATTGAATTTTAATGCTTTTTTCCCCTCTCCTTCCTTATTACCTTTGTGGCAGGGTTAAGATGAGAGGATGTTGAGATTAGATATTCTCACACTAATTAAGACCACAGATCCCCTGGGAAGAGAATAAGGGCCTTGCTCATTCTCTCCCCTCCACACTCTCCCGCCCTCCCTCCACTGCGGTCCTCCCTCTTTCCCCCGTAGTGCTGGACCGCCGGGGCCTGGAGGAGACACACAGCTGGGATTAAGATGAACTGGGGATGGGATGCGACGTCCTTCCTTCACCTCTCCTCTCCCTTCCCTCTCCTCTCCCATCCGTAGCTCCCCATGGGGCCCCCGTAGATGACACATTAACCTTTCAGGCTGTCAGGCCATGAGAGCAGACAGATTCTCACATTACAATTAACTTTGTTCCTTTAATTAAACACATGAGCGTGCCGATGAGCAGGACCACGCGAAGACGACGCCTCCGAATAGAGGAGCTGAGGAGAAATTATTAGGGCGACCCTGCAATTTCTTGTCCAATTGCGATGGCAGAACTGTCACAACTGCACGTCACTCCGTATAGGTCATTACCAACTTGGTAATGATTATGTCAATCAATTATAAGGCAGCCACAGAAATGGAGAAAATGGAAAAATATAAGAATAAGGCCTTTCACTGCCAGTCACCATCATGATGTACTTTTTATTTTTAGATTAACACACAGGCCTTTTACAATAAACACAGGGGCAGGAGCATATAACTACTCACTTTGGAATTTCCTAAGATTTAGCATTTTTACGTTCACGTCCTGTTATTATTGTTCCATTCTTTGTAAGAAGCACCTGGTACTTGGGGCTTTTGTTTCTGTTTTTGCTGGAACAAGTGTACACTTTGTGAGGGAAGATGTTTATGGGGTGAGATGGAGTTCAGCGTGGTGCCACAGTCCTCTGGATGACAAAATCAGGATTTAGCGTCACGGGGGAGAAAAACCTTCCCATGCTCAACAAGCGTAAAGTAAAGTGGACACTGTTTAGATGCATCTTTTTATTCCTACTGAATACTTTCATAACCTCAAATAAAACTAAATATTCCATTCGCCCATCAATGTTTTGGCCTAGAAAAGTGCAGGAGGGTAAAATACGGCTTTTATGTCTATTTCTTTAGTTGGTTATCATTTTTTTTATGTTTGCCGAATGAGGGCCAGCGAGCTTCTACTTTCAGAGTGTGCCACCACTGGGTGTGCACACAAAGCTCCCCCCTCCCCCTCACTCCATTCTCTCCCATGCCGGTGAGTCACTTCCATGCACCATTTCAGGGGAAGGGGAGGGAAAAAGGCAAATAAACAAGATCTCTTTTCAGAGTTTATGTTCTCAAAGGGAACGAGATGAGGGGGAGCAGCAGGCAGGGAGGAGAAGGGTGGTGGGGGGGTCTGTGGCCAGCAATTTGAAAACTGTTGCCCTTACCCGGAGAGATCTGTGTACACTACTCGCAAAGTCAAACAAATAGATCCAGGGTGCAGGTTTACGTGTGTGTTTGTGCGACTGCCCGTAAACCTCCTTGCCTGTCATCTTCAATCACTGTTCTCTGTTCCTGATCAGACCTCTCTCTCTTTCTCTCTCTCTCTTTCTCTCCCTCTCTCTTTCCATACGTGTGTCTGTGTGCGATGGTGTTTGTGTGTGTGTCTCTGTCTCTCTGTGCCTATTTCCCACGTGGGTGCCAGGCCTGGATCCAGAGAAGCACTTGGGAAAAACTCTGGCTGACATGGAGCCCTATCTGAAACAGGTGACTGGTAGATACTCGACTACACAGTTGTACTTCCATGTGTTTCCATGTGTGCAACACTTACAACACTTATATATATATATATATATATTTGTATTTCTCTTAAAATTTTTGTTTCACTGTCAGAAAATCACTTACACCAATTACATTCTTATATATTTACACAAAAAAGGTTTATCTAACTTTAGGGCTGCACGATTACTTGTATTAAAATTCTTATCTCAATTCTCACTTATATGTGACCTTTTCAAAACACGCTGATACTTTTGCTTAAAGAATCTAAAGCACCCATAATGCTGCACTATCTTTGTTTTCTCCCTCAACCAATGACAACACAGCATAAACCCACATGATAGAAAAACCAGCAGTGAAATTGAGCGAGTAAGTGAGACGTGGAGATAAACAATATGGATAAAAAAAAAAACAAAATGAATCCAGAAGAGAACCCTGCTAATTACGGGACAGAATCATGATCTCAATTCTAAGCAACAAAACCATGATACTCATTTTTTCCAGACTCATGCAGCTCAAATAAACTTTGTTTACATGGAGACACTGTAGTCATGTAAAACAGTTTTGTTGCTTTTTGTTGTGTTTAAATGAAATGCAGGAATGTGCGTGAATTTGAATAAGATGTGTTGTTTTCAGCTCTCTCAGAAGTACGGAGTCCATATCTGTGGCGAAGGAGGAGAATATGAAACCTTCACCCTTGATTGTCCTCTCTTCAAAAAGAAAATTGTTATGTGAGTAAAGCAATATAAACTATAAACGCACAAGTGTTTGTCTTTTACAGCATGCGGCTGCGTCAACTTTGTAAAGTTGTGTTTTTGCCGACAACACACAGAAGTTTTGTTTGTACGTTCATGCAGTGATGCAGCGGAGACCGTGATCCACTCAGCAGTTGCCTTCTCTCCAGTCGGCTACTTGCGCTTCACCGAGATGCACACCGAGAACAAAGACAGCGTGAGTCGCACTTCTGAAAGAATCCACGAGTGTAACTTCTTTCACAAATAAGATCAATGCTGTTCGATGCTGGCTCAATAACTCAACAACAAAAGTTCAGAGTTTGCTTTGGGGTTGATTACTTTAAACCCACTCTTAGGGCAAAAACAAATACAAGAACAAAACCCTTTGGTGTCTGATAACTTTGTTGAGGAGAAGAGAAACACAGCACTGCAGGGCAGAGTTCAGACCGACCTCCAGAGGGCCAATCTCTCTCCAGCACTCTCTTGCTCTCGGTCTCTCCCTCAATCCATTGCTCTCTCTCCTCTAGCCCCACATGGCCTACTTTGACGTCTGCAATATTCACTGCAGCCTGAAACTAGGCCCAGCTTAATAAACATGTCTGCTCACATTAAGGCGCTTTGCATTCAGGTAGCTGGCTTTGCAGACACAAGCAGGGGCTGCAGAGCGAGGCAGTAGGAGATGGCTTTTGGAGTTTCAGAAGGAGCTGGATGAGGGTTCACTGACTGGAAGGGTGCCACTAGGAAACATTTGCTTCACTTGCAAGAATAGAAAACATGAGCGTGGTTAAATTATTGTTAAAACTAAAATTTGCAAATTGACATTGACCTTATTTATGTGCACTTCTGATTACAAATGATCAGCTCTAATAAGACTCCAGCTGATGCTTGAAGTGCGTGCCGTTGTATTAGCTGCAGTGAGTTACGAGTGTCAGTGTTATTAAGGGATTGCGCTCGCCTGTAGATCAGTATGTCTCCAGGGTAAAGCATGTGATTTGCACATGTGTTTCTTTGCACATTACACAATAATGCGTCCTGTGTGCGTAAATGTGCAAGGGAGTGTGCGTTTGTAAAAGTGTGTGTATGCATATTGGTTGGGGGGCTGGGGACTGTCATGGACAACAACAACAAAAAAAAAAAAAAACATACCCCCATCCCACAACCTCCGTGACCCTGCAGCCTCACTCCCTACAGCTATATATTTTTTTCAACCCCCCCTCTGTGCTGCTCCCACCCCCATCACACAAACACACACGCACACACAAATGCTGCCACAGCCCCCCCCTAGGTTTCTGTTGGAAGAGCAAGGGAGATCCAGGGTCTGCAAGGGGTGGGGGTGGTGTCGGTGCGGAGGGTGGGGGGGCAGGCAACCAGGGGAGAACCTGCCCTGCTTCGGCCTTCTGAAGCTCTTCTCGTCAGGGTGACAGATCCGCAGTGACATCAGCACTAGAGGAAACTACACCGGGCTCAGGGGGTGGGGATGGACCACCATCATTTGCCCTCCGTTAATGCTAGTCAAGCTATTTTTCATGCTGGCCAGGAGAGAGGGGCTGAAGTATAATTAATGTGATTATCATATGGCCTAATGCGGCTGACAGCAGATGAGGGGGGTGAGTGAGTGTTGCGAGGGGTGTTGAGGAAAGATGAAATATGTATTCAAATGTGTGACGCCCAGCAGGATTTGGCAGGTAATATGTATGCCTCAGAGAATGGTAATGATTTGTTATTTAAAGAAGTAGCAGAGGGTAGTATAAGTGAAAAGAAAAACCCTGTTGAAATCCAAAACATGTCTCAGGCATCCAGTCATGAGTTTTGACTGACAGGCAGCATGATTGAATCTACAGTATCAGAAAACACCACTCCCCATTCGCCTAAACCGCGAATATGTTAGCATGTTGTTTCATATTCATTCACCTTGAAGTTATATGTGTCTGGGCCCCTTGTCATGAAAGACTGACAAACACAGGCCGCGCGGCGCTGGCGTATTTGAAAAGGTTGGCTAATTATACAGCATTTTGTCTGTCTCTGCAAAAGGGCTCCGCGCTCTTTGGTGGGCGTTTGGCCTGATGTATTCCCTGTGGTGCTTTATCGCAGGATGCGGTGGCGAGAGCTTTGCCCCATGGTAGTTGTCCTTGCCAGAGCGCCATTGACAAGATGACTGAGGAGGTGGAATATGCTGATCAAGCTGAAGACAACCAACAAGAATTTACATCAAGTTGTGACCTCAGTTGTCAGCAGGGCCACGGTGAGATTCATTTATTGTGAGACATGCTTGTGTGTGTGTGTGTGTGTGTGTGTGTGTGTGTGTGTGTGTGTGTG